TTTACCGTGTAAATATTTTTTAAAAAATAAATTGATAGCTATTTTCAAACTATTTTAGCTTGTGTTTTAACTGTACAATTGAATGAATTAGTACTAAATGGTCAATTACAAGAATATTCAATTATTCGACTTGATCGTTATCTACGTAGTGATCTTAAAGGACAAACAGCAAAGTATTTCAAACATAAATTTAGTGCTGAAACAAAAAAAGAGAAAACTTTTATTTAAATAGAATGATTTTACAAATCCTTCAATTAACAGTTTTGGATATTACTACACATAAAATTGGAAATCCTATTTCATTATTAACAGCCGATTTAAATGAAAATGATAATGGAACTGTAACAACTACTAAAGATGTTTTACAACCAAAAGTTACCGGTAATTATTAATAGCACATATTCAATAAAACTGAGATGTACTATTCAAATTTAATCTTTTTTAATCGCGATATATTTCCTATTTTTGAAGTAGACATGTGATAACAATTTTAAGTTCTTCAATACGAATCGGGTTCCTTCTAACCCTTATTATAGAAATCTAAGATGGTATTTTGTCTCTTTTTGTTTTTCTTAGGTTCAGTTCTGAAACGTCCAATAGTTGCAATAACAAATGAACAACCTGTACTTCCTCCTCTACAATCTACAATAACAATAACAAAAATAGATATTGATTCTATCAAAACTAATCGTTTATTTAAAATTGAAACACTTAATCCTTTTCAGAACAGGTCAAAAAAACATTATCTTCATTATGATTATGTTTTTGTTTTTGATAGATGGACAATTCAAGTTCGTGTTGCCTATAAAAAACCAATTCGTGCATTTTCAAATGGTGAAGGACGATTATTTAGTTGTGATTTAATTGATGAAACAGGTGAAATACGTGCAACTGGTTTTGGTGATGAATGTGATAGATTTGAACCAATGCTTATCGTTGGCAATGTATTGATATTATTTAGAAAATTTCAGTTAAATAATTTTTTCTTAAATTATTTAGATTTATTATATAACACAAGCACAAATAAAATATGCCAATAAACAATTTAATACACTTAATAATGATTTTGAAATGACATTTAATAATGAAACAATTATTGAAACATGTATAGATAATATTTCAAGTATTCCAATACAACATTTACATTTTATTTCAATTGATCAAATACAAAATATGGAAAATAATTCATTTATTGGTTTGTTAAATAATACGATGATTGTTATTCTTTTTTTACATAGTCGAAATTTTGATTTTCAGATGTTATTGGTATAGTAATGAATATCAATGATATTGTTCATGGTAAAAGTAAACAAAATAAAGATTATACAAAACGTGATATTCTTATCCTTGATCAAACTGGTCAAATTATAGTTACACTATGGTATCAAATGGTATATAAAAATAAAAGAAAAAGGATAGTTCAATTGAATATATCTATTCTAGGCTGAAAACTTTCCAATGTCATCTATTCGAACTATAATTATGTTAAAAGGTGTCTGTGTAAATGATTTCAATGGAGGTATTGATAGATAATATCAAGAACAAAATAGAAATTTTTTTCTTATTTTAAGGTCGAACATTATCTGTTCTTGGTAGTACACAATTAACAATTGATCCAGATTTACCATTAGCTCATGATCTTCGTCGATGGTATCTTGAAGAAGGAATGCATATTGAAATGACAGATCTTACAGCTCAATCAACTAATCAAGAAACTAGTAAATTTTCTATTTATAATTTTTACGACTATTATAAAGATATGAAAGAAGCTACTTGGTAGTATTTACACACTCAATAGTTAAGAGCGACAGATCTTATGAAGTTTATCGATATACATAGATTTGTATTTGAGTAAATCATGAGAGAAAAGACAACAAAATATAACTGTGTACTGATTTAATTAGTTCCATGGAAAACATTTGCTCAAGTAACTGAATATGGAACAAATGTCTCATCAACTGGTAATGGTGAACTCTGTCGAGTTAAAGGTGTATGTGTACATGTACGACATGATCCTGTTTATAAAGTAAAATAATAAATGAATTATTTATATTTAAAAAAAAAGAATATATTTATATTTTAGGCTTGTATTCGTATTGATTGTAAAAAGAAATTACAAGAAAATAATGATGGAACATATTATTGTTCAAAATGTGATTTACATTATGAAGATTATAAATTACTTTATATGGCAAGTGTATGTTTGTATTTAATTTGAAAGATATTTTTTCAAAATATAAAATTTTTTCTTAGATTCTTTTATCGGATTCAACTGGTTATCAATGGGTTAATTTTTTTGAAAAAGAAAGTGAAATTTTATTTGATTTTCCAGCTGAACAATTTCCAATTGGAAAAACAAAAGATGACGAAGATAAAGCTTATCAGAAATTAATAAGTATATGTGGAGAAGAAAAATTATTCCTTATTCGAGTTAAATCAACTCGTTATAATGTAAGTTTAAATCACAAAAAAAAAAGAAGAGATTAATATATTTATAATTTAGAATCATGATCGACTTCAATTTACATGTGTAGGCGTTGAATCTGTTGATGCTCATCTTATGTGTCGTTTATATCTCGAAGATATTGGTAGAATGTGTCGTCTTTCATCGAATTAGATATTTTTTTGTTGAATAAATATTATTTCTTTATTAGATAGATATTTCTTCCTATTTTGTTTCTTTTGTAATAATAGCAATAACAACAACAACTGTGTAGCTCATTAATGAAATTTGATATTGAATAAAAATTATCTTTTGTTTTTAATAACATATTGTATTTATATTTTCTTTCATCTAAACAATGCATACATTCTTCAGTAATTGTGTTTCATATGAATACTAAAAATAAAATATATAATCATCGTAGTGAAATCTTCCATTATTAAAACATTTGATATTACTCGAGCCTAGGTTATTTTTGTTATTTCGTGATTTTTGGAATCGTTTAGCATCTCTTATGAACCAACATATATATATGTTGTTGAATATAAAAAGAAATTTTTGTCTGTTTTTATTATCATTACAAGTTTTTCGTATGTAACAAACATATAGTAAGAAAAGTAAATGAGTTCATCTAGTGCTCTTTTATTTACTTTCTCACTAGTAAATTGACTAAAACGTTTTACAGTACTATAATAACAATTGGATGGAAGATGATGATGATTTGGTCTTGTACCTCCTATCCTTCAATTATGTAACGTACTCGAAATACTGCTTCGAATAAAATATCAGAAGAAATAATAAGGATGGAATTAAAAACTTCTATTATTCGCTTATTTTTTACGAAAATTAAGGAGATTGTGGGCATTATGAATCAATTATCTCATAAATATACTGTAAAAAAAATTTTTTTCTTCAGGTACAAAAAAGTGCAAAACGATGATCCCTTTGTGGTTTTTATGAGATATTAGACATTGCAACTATAAATATTCTAGCGTGTGAAAAGCAAGAAATCCTTCGGGAAATCAAAATAAAAGATATCAACGTCGAGTATTAAGATTAAGCTTAACATATTTTATCTTTTAGATTCTCGATCAAAACCCTCGAAATTTCTAAATAGAGATATTTAATATATGACACTTCCAGGAACAAAAGAAACTTCAACTAAATGGTCTAAATAGAAGAAAATATTAAATTAATAATTTTTTCTATCAGAACGAGTATGGAGATAGTTAATCGTACTATGTCTCTGATGCGAAAAATTTCTATATGAAAACATATGTTGTCAATATAGTACTTAGAAAACTGCTGATATTATTAGGGTCAAATTTAATAAATGATTATATATAAGTACTTTCACTGTAGAGCAAAGTTTTCAAATTCCATACTTAATATCTATTTGATTACTATTGTAGTTGATTACGATAGCGAGGATTTTAATCCTTATAATCATAGTCAACTGTCACGAATAGCTATAATCATTGTATGACTATCTATCTCATCACGATTAACGAGAGGTATAAATAAGCATTAAGCTTCGACATCTCGTGTTACTGATGAATTAAAAAGAAATTTTTTTGTTGTTAGGTTACTAAAATATAAAATATTTTGAATTAACATCGATCTATATATTTCTTGTTGTGTTTCATTTAATATAAATCTTTCAAATACATTGTATACAAACGATGGAAGCGAAGAAGATTTGATGTAATTATTGTTTTTTTGTTGTTGCATACTTTTTAATGTTTGATAAGAAACAATTTCTTTCTTACTTCATTTTAAAATCTATATAATGGTCTGAGCGCGAACGCAGAGACGCTGCTAACAAATTGACCTCTCTCTTCGCCCCGATGTGGAGCGAAAGCAGGATTTAGTTTATAGCGTAGTGCAATGCCAAAACCTCGTCCTGGATGTTCAGTATTAATGATCACTGAGACGATCAGAGGAAAGTAAGTATGAGTTTGTTTTTTTCTTTTCATTCCATTTATATACGTTGTCAAATGGCGAAACACGGCGATGAATGAATAGAAGGCATATATATATAAGAAAGAACAAATTTTATGATGACTCATCGATTTGCAGTCAGAATGAATCATATGATTCAATACAACATAGAGAGAAAAATTTTCATTTCTAATATAAATACTTGAGAAAAAAAATGTTTGAAGATGTATTCTCCTTATTCATATGAAAAGAGTGTTATTTCTATTTTCGTCCTATATTAAATAAAAGATAAACGTATTGTCTTAGTTGAAGATTGAATAATATGCATTAAAAAAAAAACGTTTTATAAAAAAGAAAGAATTTGATTCATTGAATAAAAAAATACTAGTTAATTATTAAATAAACAAATTCTATTATCTAACAATATAAACATAAGAAAAGTGGCGCTATCAATCAATATGACGTCGCTACCAACAAGCAAATCTATTCGTGAAAAATGGCATTACATTAACCAGTAGTAATATTCTTTTCTATTTGACTAAACTAATTCTCTTAACTTACTTCAGTATTTCAAACAAAAACATTCTTTGTATTTTTCATCAAAATTTTTTTTTAGATGTCGAATCCAAAAAATAAATCCCTATCATCTCCAGGAAAACATTCTCATCCATCTATATCAACAACAAATCAAATTGAACAACATCATCAAATACGTCATTCAATACATTGTTCTGATTATCCTTCATCATTATTTTCAACAATCAATCAATTTCGTTTATCAGATTTATTTACTGATGTAACTATTTATGTTGATGGTGTTCCATTTGCTTGTCATCGTTTAATACTTGCTGCAGCTTCGCCATATTTTCGTGCTATGTTTTCATATAATTTTCGTGAATCAACGGAAGGAAATGTTCGTATACAAGATATTACACCATGGACAATGAAACGAATACTTGAATTTATTTATACAGGTCATACAGATGTAAATTATGAAAATTTATTTGAAATGTTTAATGCAAGTGTTATGTTATCAATAAAAGAATTAACTGATTTACTTATAAAATTTCTTTATTTACAAATTGATATCTATAATTGTATACAAATTGAACAGCTAGCAACATTATATTCATTAGAAACTTTACGTCGTACAACATTACAATATATTGTTGATCATTTTATGTGTTTATATGAAAAAAAATTATTTGTTCAATTAAATGAACATACTTTAATGGAAGTTTTATCGGATGATAATTTAGATATACCAAAAGAAGAATATGTTTTTTTAACTATTGTACAATGGGTTAATTATCATCCAATTGAACGTGAACAATATTTTCAAAGTTTATTTAAATTTATACGTTTAAATTCTATAAGTGATAGTGATTTTGTAACAAATTCAATGCGTAATGAAAAATTAGTACAAAAATATACAACTTGTTTACGTACATTAAAAGATTTTTATTCAAATAATTTCATTCCAGATTTACTTGGTCCTATTCGGTATGAATAATTTATTTTCTTTAAAATATATTTTTTTGTTTTTGTTTTTTCTTAGACCAAGTACTCAAATCAGATATCATTTAATTGTGATTGAATTATATTCGAGTGATGATGAAAATGATGAAGATGAAAGTGAAACTGAACAATCAACGACTGTAAAAGAACCTGATGAGTCAATTGTAACATTCTATCAGAAATTTTCTGCTCAATTACAAGTGAACGATGTAGCAACAACAAATCATACTTTGAGCCCAAAGTATATTTATTTATTAAATTTACATATAAAATACGAGATATACTTTTTTCAAAACCGTATATAGCGAAACCCATTGAGAAGAATTTAATCTAGGAATTAAATACTAACATTTACGCTATAGAATTATAGATTACAATTTTTTACAAACTAACATACAACAAAGTTTTTCTATGATTTATTATTTACCTGTGAGTACATTGAGAAGCCGTAATAAAATCAAACCAATTTTACATTTTCACTCTACACTTGTAAGGATTTTGGAAGAATTTTTCTTTTTTTGTTATGATTTGATAAGTAGTTAAGTAGAATTGTATAACTTACTAATATTTAAGACAAATATAGATAGTCTATAATTCTGTGATTTACATATAAAATATAATGTACTTATTTGATTATAGTAATTATCATTTTTTCATTTTGCTAGACATTTCAAGGGTTTTTGAGGGTTTCCTAAAGTTTAACATTCTCATTTGAGGAATGATTGTAAGTACTCACTATAATTTTGTTTAATTATATTAATTAAAAGTATGAAGATCTACTATTATTTTTTATATTATCGAACTGTTCAGAAATGTTTTTGTATCATAAGAAGAAAGGTTCAAATGATGTTAAATATCTATAATTTATATGCCTCGTGTAAAATAAATTATTCTCTATTCGCTTAATTTAATATGTAGTAGTTAAGATTCGATCTTTGATGTAGATTTAAATATACCCTGTCACTAATTTCTTTTTTTTTACTTTCTTTCTTAAGTAATGTTGATTCAAATCATTGTGACTATTTTATAAATTCCCATAATCATGATCGTTCGTCATCGCCTGATCATCGTTTATCATCATTAAACTGTCATTTACATGCCTATGATTTTTTCCGACAACGATGGCGTTTTCTTGGTCGTTTGCCAGAAATATTTTCTCATGTATCATGTATATCAACAAATACAACATTGTATTTATTCGGTGGACAATTAAAATCTGGAGAATTAAGTGATCGTATATGGACATTATCATTAGCAACACTTAAATGGCAAATGTCTTCTGTACATTTACCATATCCCCGTGGACAACATACATGTGTTCTTTTTAATAATGTTGTTTTATTATTTTTTGGTGTTTCACATTCATCATCATCTATAAATCCATGTCATTCAGTAGATATGTTTGATTTAACAACTGAAACATGGACATGTCTCGGTGAAAGTGTACCTTCATATCAATGTGAACCAATTGTTGCAACAGGACAATTAGTATTATTATCAAATAAAAATGATACACAAGTATTACATACATATAAATTAAAAATGCAACAGCATGATGAATTTACGAATGGACAATCGATTAAAATGAATACATCTAATGATGAATTATCATCAACAGTAATAAAAGATAAAACACAACTTTCCAGAGTAAGTTAAATTATTTTTAAATAATGCACTCTTCATTAGTTTAACTCATAAAAAAATTACATTGAAAATCTATAGTATAGTGTAAAAATAATCATAATATTTTCTGTCAGTATTAGATTAAACAATTGTTTACTTTTGTTGATATATGATGATTTGGTAAAGTTTGACTGCAGGAGTTCGTTAAATCCTAAAATATTTCTATTGACCTATATCGATGATTAATAGCAACAATCTGCATGTTTTTTCAATAATCATAATGTTGATTTTATAATAATCAAATCATAGTTGACTTTTTCGTCTAATTAACGTATGTTAGATTCAAAATACGTGATAAAACTGATTATGAATATTATTATCTATCTATTAATCTATTGATTCTTTTTTTTTCTAGACTCCATCACTTGATAGTACTCTTGTAAATAATCCATGTTTAACATCAGCTGGTTATTACATGCTACCACGTAACAATAATATTGGTCGCTTTTCACTTGTAACACATGACGATGATCTTTATCTTATTTATTGGCAATCAAAACAAGTTTATCGTTTTAATTTAGTACGTAACGAAATCTTATTAAAACAATCAATGCCATATTCCTATTTAAATCATTGTCAATGTGTTCTTGTTGATCGACGTGTAATTGTTAGTGGTTTAGTATGTTTATCAAATTTAACTGATATAGAAAAGCAAGCTTTGTTATTGTCAAACGAAAAAAAATCCTCAAAAAAAGATTCCTATTGGACTATACAAATATATGATATTGATGAAGATCGGTGGTCCCTATTACCTGATCAACAAATTCAACGAAAACATCTATTATTGGTATCAAAATTATCTTAATTTATTTTCATGAGAATGATATATACATATATATACATAGACAAAAAGAGAACTTATTCATAAGTGCCTGCTACTACTAAAGTTTGTTTTTTTGCATGATCACAGTGAAATTATTCTTGCTACTTTTCTTTTCCTCTTTTTTTTTTGTTTGTTATTTTTGTCTAGTCTTGTAACTTCACACATTGATGTAAGATGAATCTGATCTCTGATAATTTGTATGTTTTGCTCTTTCGTTTGGTAAAATAAAAAAAAAATAAATAAAAGCAAAATTCAAAAGAAAGATAAGGAAAAAAGAAAGTTTTTTCTTTTGTTTCTCACGTGTTTTTTTATGATTGCTCAATAATAAATGATTGTATATTATTTTATTTGTCATAAAAAATTCTTCTTTTTTTTTCTCTCTCATACACTCCAATCTTCATTTCTTTTTTTTTGTGACATGTATTCTTTTTGTTTGTTCTTATTTTTCTATTCTCTATATTGAAAATTATTTCTAAATGTACATATATATATAAATATATATATGTTAAATTCAATCAAGAGAAAAAATAAACTATTTGTCTTTTCTTTTTTTTATTTTGGATGTTTTTTTTTCTTTAGATGATCAGTAGATATATATTTGTTTGTTTATATTTTGCCTCATTTTTTCTTATTAATCGTTGG